GGGGCCCCTTGCCGACCCACATCCCCTGGCTTGGGGCCTGGCAGCTGTGCCTGCTCTGGGGGCGAGGCCCCGGCCGGCTGTACTGCAGGGTGACGCTGTGTCTCTCCCCTGCAGGACTGTGCTGCTGGCTACACTCGCACCGGAGGTGGCCTGTACCTCGGGCACTGCGAGCTGTGTGAGTGCAATGGCCACTCGGACTCCTGCCACCCGGAGACGGGGGCCTGCTCGGTGAGTGACCAGCGTGGTGCCCCCGGGGCCTGCCCGCCGGCTGGAGCAGCCTTTCCACCCCGCCTCGCAGAAGCAGACACTCCTATTCCTTCTGGGGTCCCCCTGGCCACTGCCACAGGCCAGGTGGATGCCCCAATGTGGGCTGAGAGAAGGGCTGAGACTCCCTCTGGTCCCCCTGGGCCTGCCTGCGCTGGGCCAGAGCCCCTGGCTTCCTGGGCTTGCACTCTGTGACTCAGGGAGGATCCTCATCTACCCCCTGCCTCCTGCCCCACCCTAGAGGAGGACTCTGCCCCAGGGCAAGCCCCTCGCTGCGACCCCTCCTCCTCCAGTGGCTGGGTGTGTAGCTAGCCCTGGTGCGCACAGCACTGTGAGCTCCGTCCCTCTCCCCAGAACTGCTTACACAACGCGGCCGGGGAGTTCTGCGACCAGTGTGCCCCTGGCTACTATGGTGACGCCACCGCCGGGACCCCCGAGGACTGCCAGCCTTGTGCCTGCCCACTCTCTGAGCCTGAGAACCAGTGAGTAGCTGATGCCAGCGGATGGGGTTGGGGGTTAGAATGTAGCAGCCCATGGCACATGGGGGGTTAACATGACTGAGGTCACACCCCCCCCCACGTGGCATCTCCATCTCTGGGTGTTAACGCTGGGGCTCCGCCCCTGCCAGCAAGGGGCCAGGCCTGGCCTGGGAAGGGCGGAGATGGAGGTGGAGCGAGGATGTATTGAGGAGGTGCCAGGTGCTGGCTGCCCTATTGCCAGCCAGGTCTGTCGGCGTCTCAGCACCAGCCCTACTGCTGCTGCCAGCCAGTGTTTCTTGGCAGGGCCCCTGAGAGTCTGCCCTGGGGGTGATCCCGAGGGCTCTGTGGTTCACTCAACCTTGTGTGTCTCATAGCTTGGGGGGTATACAGCGGGGACAGGGCCGCTCTTCCTAGGGCAGGGGGCAGGAGGCACTGTTCCCGGGGCGGCTGAGCAGGGGCAGGGCGCTGTTCCTGAGGTGGTTCCAGGATGGCGGAGGCAGGGGGCGCTGTTCCCGGGGTGGCTCAGTGGAGGTGGGGAGGGGGCGCTGTTCCCGGAATGGTTGAGCGGGGGCAGGGGTCGCTGTTTCTGGGGCGGCTGAGCAGGGGCGGGGGAGCCGTTCCCAGGCAGCTGAGTGGGGGTGGGGCGCTGTTTCTGTGGTGGTTCCAGCGTGGTGGAGACAGGGGGCACTGTTCTGGGGTGGGTGTGGGTGCTGTTCCCGGTCGGGCGCTCAGGTCTCTCTCTCCCTGCAGGTTCTCGCGGACGTGTGAGAGCCTGGGGGCGGGCGGCTATCGCTGCTCAGCCTGCGAGCCCGGCTACACCGGCCAGTACTGCGAGCAGTAAGTCTTTCCCCTAGGGCTGCCACCCAGCCAGTTTTCCCCCAGAAAGTCTGGGTTTTGGCTTGTGTAGCCTGGTGCCATTTGACAAGGCCCCCTCC